ACTGTTTCTGGTTGCACCAGGTCACCAGATGGTCGATCTCCCACCTGTAGGCGGACTCTCCCCATGTTGGTGTACAGGGAAAGAAGGGGGAAAGAACGCAGCCCTGAGGGAACCGGTGCTGATGGTCCCTGAACGTGCTGCTTCCTGTCCGTCAGGAAGTCAGTGATCCACCTGCAGGTGGAGTCAGGCACGTTCAGCTGGGAGAGCTTGTCCGCAGCAGCCGGGATGATGGTGTTGAAAACAGAGCTGAAATCCACAAACAGTCCTGGCGTAGGTTCCTGGGGAGTCCAGGTGCTGGAGCATGTAGTGAAGGGCATGTTTACTGCATCATCTACAGACCTGTTGGCTCTGTAGGCGAACTGCAGGGGGTCCAGGAGAGGTCTTATGGATTTTAGGTGGGACAAACAGAGACGGTCAAAGGACTTCATGACCACAGAGGTCAGGGCGACGGTCTGTAGACGTTTATCCAGTGGTCTTTGGTTTCAGCACAGTGCTTCAGGGTGGATGGGGAGACAGAGTCCGGCCCAGCTGCTTTGCAGGGTTTCTGCCTCCTGAAAAGACCGTTGACTTCCCTCTCTGTGATGGAGAGAGGAGGAGAGGGGGTGGAGCTGGCCAGCTCTGAGTAGGGAGGAGAGAAGTGAGCTGAGCAGAGGACACGGGGATGGTGTCCGATTGACTCTCAAAGCGGCAGTAGAACTGGTTCAGCTCATTTGCCAGGTGAGAATCGTTTATGGAGTGGAGGACTTTGGGTTTATAGTTTGTGATCTGTCCGAACGCCCTCCGACAGAAGTGGCGTTGTTTGCAGAGAACTGGTTCTTTAGTCTCTCTGCGTACAGTCTTTAGCTTCTCGCACCTCCCTGCTAAACCTGAACTTTAACGCCCTGCACCCGGCTGTGTCACCACTCCTAAACGCCTCCTCCTTTTCCAACCTTAGCTGTCTGAGTTTAGCTGTAACCAGGGTTTGTCACTGTTATACTCACCCTGGTGTGTGTTGGAATACATGTGTCCTCACAGAAGCTGATATAGGACGTCACAGCCTCTGTAAACTCATCCACATTCCTGAAGATCCTCGATAGCTTCACTAGTCCACTTCTTTGATGTCCTCACTACAGGTTTACAGAGCTTTAGGCCCCGTCCATCTACTACTCCGTTTAGTTTACCAACGGAGAATTAAAACGAATACGATCTCCGTCCGCACCAGCGTTTTAGCTTTGGAGTTGATCTCCGTTTACATTAAAATGACTGAAAATGCACAGTAGGGCCTGTTTAGGTACACCGGGTGCGCTGCAGGTGTAAACATGAAGCAGGTGGTCTATTCCGTAGTTACAGAAGATTTGGCGAAAGAATGAATAAATACAAGAAATTATCAGACCCGTTTCTTTATTATTTTGCATGCACCAAAACGAGCTGGGACTGTTGCTGAATCTAACTCGGGAGTGTGGCGGCAGAAAACGGACTGGGAGTCATCACAAAGGAAACGGCGACATGCACAGTACGATTTTAGGTTATTTGCACGGTACATATATTATAATAAAAATACGATGTCAAAAACCCGGTCAGCAGCATCGTGTTTCTACTTTGCAAGACCCAATCAGAGAGCCGAGCGTGAGCGGCTGCATCATCGTTTCTAAGTCCTCCGTTTTGGCCCGTCTTCACTAAAACACCCTCCGGAGTTTTGAAATGCAAAACGGGTCGGCAGCGTTTCCAAACTTCTGCGTTTTAGGTCTTCGTTTTCGTCGTTTCATTCTGGACGAGAGGTGCAAACGTAGCAAAAGGTCTCCGTTTTAATTCGAAACACAGTAGTGTGGATGGGGCCTTAGTTTTTACCTGTAAGCAAGGATCAGATGGACCATCACGTGATCAGAGTGTCCCAGTGGAGCGCGTGTGACGGCGTGATAGGCCCTGCTAACTGTGGTGTAGCAGTGATCCAAAGTGTTCCCCTCTCTGGTTGGACACGTTAAAACTGTATTTGGGGAGTCCATGGCTGAGGTTTCCTTTGTTAAAGTCATAGAGAACAATAAGAAGGGAGTCCAGGTTTGTCTGCTCCACACAGTATCCGCTGTGCGCCGTGCACGTTGGCGTGCGGCGAGATGTAAACACCGACCGAGTGAATGAAGCAAACTCACGTTGGGAGTAAACGGTTTACAGTTAATAAGAAATTCCAGATCAGAGAACAGAGCTGCTGAATCACTGTCACGTCGCTACACCAGCCATTGTTCATATAAAAACAGACACCTCCACCTTTTGTTTCGCCGGAGAGTTGGCCGCGAAGACGCACAAGTGACCCGGCTCTTTTTCCTCTCCTGCGGCGCTTCACAGTGCGAACGACAGCGAGCGAGCCCTTCACTGAAATGTCCAATAATTCCACTGATGACGCGAGAATAGTGGGAATTAAATCCGCTGGAGTTGTTCCCCTGATGTTCATGAGCTCCTCTCTGGTGAAAGAGCTCCGGGAATCTCAGCCGAAAACTGAATTAACACACAAAAACAAAACACAACAAGCGCACCGAGGCAGCTATACCCAGCGCCATCTTACTCACTAAGTACACTATATAACAGATCTATAAAATGACTAGATAGGATATTACTGTAACATAACTAAAGATAACATTACTTTAACATAAGTAACTGGTGTAGAGACATCACCTCCATCATGAGGTGTGAAACGTGAGAACAAAATCCTGCTGATTCGTCTGAAATTGATCCAGAATCCCGAAGTGAACTGATGAACTTGGAAAGCAGATTCCTAAAGCCAGAAGTGGTCTCTGCATTGCTTCTCTTCTCGTCTCTGAGATTTGAACCAGGTACGAGGTTAATGACATCACTTCCTATGTGTTTCCCTCCAGCTGTCGATGTGACTCGCCTCCCTCTGACCTTCTGGAGGAAGTCTCCGTTCATCCAACACTTCCTCTCTTCTCCGCCACCAGTGCGCCATGGGATTTGCAGACCTTGTCATCCCCCTCCTCTCCCTGGTGACATCATCGGTGTGTGCTGGAGTGGGCGGGCCAGTCAAGGTAAAGAACAGTTGTTCGTTGGATCTACGGCAGATGGACACATGATGGGTGGTCCGTGAAGATCAATGTGTTTTTAAATAGAGGTCTGGTTGTGTGTCCTGTAGGCGGCGCTGTGCTGTGTCCTCTGCAGTGCGTGTGTGAGACGAGGCCCTGGTACACCCCGCAGTCTGTGTATCACCAGGCCAGGACGGTGGACTGTAATGAACTCCATCTGCAGAGAATACCCCAACGTTTCATCGGACACACAGGTAACTGTAACGCTCAGTAAAATAGTATCACTCTGTCTCATCCATTATCTACACCTGCTTATCCATGTAGGGCCGCGGAGGGCTGGAGCCAGTCCCAGCTGACATTGGGCGAGAGGCGGGGTCACACTGGACGGTCACACTAGATTAAACCTGGGTTATTTTCTAGGAAGACAAACTTCAGCTGACATCAGGTGTAGTGTCAGAGGTTTTAGACAAATCCCAGCCGTAATTGTGACTTGAACGTTGATGTAAACAATACTTACAAGTCAAAACTGGTCATTACCGGAGCTCCCATATTACTTGAACCTAGAGCTGCTTGTGACTGACCGTATAGGAGGGATCTGAAACTGTAAAACTGAGGAGGACGTGTTCCCGCCTCTCCAGTGGAAATTAAACCCTTGGCTGTGGGTTCTAGCAACAGTCCTGTGCGAGAACCTGGCTTTGAATTTCGACCCCGGTCGTCTTGTCCTGGTCTCAAAACTCTAAATCAGCTGTCAGTGGACGAGTCTCACAGTGAGATCTGGGACAGCTGTTTGGACTGACCGCCAACGATTTTCCCACCTTTGTCTCACACGGTTAACTTTAATCTGAAACAGGAGCAGCATGATGTGATTATATACAACCTAAAAGAGTGAGGATTGGATTTAACACGTTTATTTCTAAATGGTTTGTTTGTTATGGAACGATGTTCGTGGCTAAAGAGTCACCAGCTGGTTGTGTTGACGTGCTTCAGGTGCTGCTGCTGCAGAGTAACAACATCTCCTCCATCACGACCGAACTGCAGCGTCTGACCAACCTGACAGAACTGGACCTGTCACAGAACCACTTCACACAGGTAACGCACACGTTTTCTTCTTCTGTTTGTTTCTTCACAGAGGTTGATGTGGCGCCGCCCTGCGCTCCTTTGTCTCAGAAAGTACAGAACTTCCTGAATTGGAATCCTGAAAATGATGAGAAGGAAGAGGGTAGTCGGGGAATCTTATCTCAGGGCATATAAGCCCCGCCCTCGCTGCTGTAGAGCAGAGCGGCTCGCGCTGTACTCTAGTTTATTCACATTTTAAGAATTTGAACATGTCACCAAATGCGACGCTGCACTCCCGTGAGTCCGCAGCAACACACCCGCCAAGTGTGAGGTCGTCGTCAAAATACAATCAGACGCACACACAGATTTCTGCCTGCATCAGGGAGATGGATTATATTTATATAGTGCCTCATCTTGATACTCGAAGTTTGTCAGAGAGACACTCGCCTCGACCACCGCCAGGTTGTAGCACCCACCACACCAGCTGGAGAGGAAACACACTGGCGGTTAATGAGGTGGCCAGATGGAGAAAGCCAGGACTCTGGGGAACCCCTACTCTTTGCAGTAAGTGCCGTGGGATCTCGGTCTAACACCCACCAGCACCACTTCCAGCAGGAACCTAATTTTCCCAGGCGGTCTGCCTCCAGGTACCAGATGAGCCCAAACCTGCTTAGCTCCATTCAGCTGAAACAGGGTACATGTTGGTGCAGCTGCTGGCTGTTGTATTGGAAATTTTCCTTTAGTGAGTCTTCTCAAATAAAGAATTCAATCCAGACGTCCTTTAAATGTTTTATTCTTTGCAAAGGGTCAGACAGACCTACAGGTGCAGCCAGTCTGCCAGTGAAGAAACAGTAGGAACCAGCTGCCCTGAGATGAAGTCCTATCTCACCCAGCTGCAGCATAATACACTTATCAAACACCACAGTGAAACATAAACCTAGAAGAATGCAGCATAAAAGGTAAAACAGTAAACCCTGCAAAATATAAAATTTCCATCACGCTGTTGAACAGTTGGTCACATGACGGCTCCCTGCTGTCTGAACTAATCAGACTCGACTCAGCTGACATTTAACCCCCCTGTCCTAATACTTTTGGGAGGGGCTCTTTTCATTCTGTGGTCTTTGTTAGGGGAAATCTTAATGCTACACGTTTAGACATAAAGAAACGCTTCTCCCAGTTTGGTGTGGAAGAACTGGACCGGCCCGCTCAGAGCTCTGACCTCAACCCCTTTGTCCTTGGTGTCCCGGTGCGTTTGTCCATATAGTGTGTCAACAGAGAGCACCTGTCAGCGGACTCACCTGGAGGTGGTTCAACAGCATGTCCCGTTTTTGTTCAGTCATTGTTCACTTTAAATATAACCTCCTTTTAATGAATTTGAAGAACATATTATTGGCTGTATTATTTAACTTCAACCTGATATTATATAATATTAAATCTAAACGTTAACCGGTCTGTGTGCTACACTGTGTTTGGGAAGCAGCGCTCCAGCCTGCAGTGATATTTAGTCTGTTTCTCCCTCTCTCTCTGTCCAGGTGAGCTCTATGGGTCTCTCCACTCTGGGCCGCCTGGTGACTCTGTACCTGGAGGAGAACCGGATCGAGGAGCTGGAGGACTTTAGTCTGAGGAACCTGTCCAGTCTGGAGGAGCTCTACATCAACCACAACCACATCTCCTCCATCGGACCCAAGGCCTTTGCTGGGCTCACCAACCTGCTGCGGTAACTAAGTACCACATCTTCTTTTCAGCTCTGTTTTAAAGTGCAACCTTAACAAACTCCAGGTAGTCATTGAAGGACCTCCTGGACCACTCACAGGGCCCCAAGAACTTCCTCTCTGACCAAAAGGATTACTGTAACAGTCTCTTGAATGATTACTAGAACCTCCTCAGCGAGCACAACAGAAACGGTAATTTGGGGTTCAGTATCTTCTTCGACTTGCGGTCTGGGGGAGCAGGTCTCCGATTAGTGGGAAACCTGCATTCCTTCAACTCACCTCAACTTTATTAAGGTTTCCTTCGATACATCACGTCTGTATCTCAGTACAACCGGCTTAAAAACTAAATGTGATCACAATTTATCACTGTGAGGTAATTAAATAAGATTTTTGTCTTCTGTTTCATTTTTACCCATGGTTCCTCACGGGTCAGTGAATATGTAATGATTAGTCGATCCTGATTAGTAATCCCGTCCTCTGCTCGGTCCTGTAGGCTCCACCTGAACTCCAACCGGCTGGTGGCCATCGACAGTCGCTGGTTTGAGTCTCTGCCGTCCCTGGAGATCCTGATGATCGGGGAGAACCCAATCCTGGGTCTGGAGGAGAAGAACTTCCTGCCTCTGTCCCGTCTCCACAGCCTGGTGCTGGCCGGGATGGGACTGGCCTCCGTCCCCTCCGCCGCCTTCCTGGGCCTCGACTACCTGGAGAGCCTCTCCTTCTACGACAACCGGCTCAGGTGTGTCGGCGCGGTCGCTGGTTCACTTCCCCTTTCTGTAACATCCTCTCACTCTGGCTGATGTAACTGTTGTTCTCCTGGCAGGTCTGTTCCTCGGGACGCTCTGAGCATGCTCCCTAACCTGAAGTTCCTGGACCTGAACAAGAACCCAATCGGCCGAGTCCAGCAGGGAGATTTCCAGAACCTTCAGCACCTGGAAGAGCTCAGGTCAGTCTGCAACTGCAAAAAGTAGGGATCAAGTGGTTTTGATCCGAGTCCTTAAACATTGGGTGTCTCAGATACAGAGGACGATCAGACGCTTATATTTCCCTAAATGTTCATTATGTATATGACACGTTGAACAGCTGCAGATACTAAATCTGGCCTGACCCGTCCCCCACGGAGGAAACTCATTCAGCACAACCACATTCTTATTTTTTTAGTCACTACCCAAAGCTCATGACTACATGTGAGGGCTGGAACGTAGATCCACTGCTAAATCAAAAGCTTTGCCTTTCGGCTCAGCTCCCTCTGAACCATAACGGACGCCGCACCAATCCAACCGTCCATCCCGCTTCACCGTCACTTGTGAAGATGCTGAGATACTCCTTTACTTGGGGCAGCAACTCACTCGCAACTCGGAGCGAGCAATCCACTGTTTTCCGGCAGAGAACCCTGACCTCAGACCTAATCCCAACCGCTTCACAGTCGGCGGCAAACCGCCCCAGTGCACGCCGAAAGTCACGGTCCAAGACAGCCAACAGAACCGCATCATCTGCAAAAGGCAGAGAAAGTTCCCAAACCGGACACTCTCCTCACCTCGGCTGACCTTCAGATCCTGTCCAAGAAAATCCCAAACAGGATCGGAGACTAAGGACAACCTTGGTAGAGTTACTGAAAACAGGTTTGACCTTGTGCTGAGAATACAGACACTTCAGTTATACCAGGACCGGATGGCCCGTAGCAACAGCTCCGGTACCCTATACTGCTGCAGGACCCCACAGGATTCCCCCCAGGTGTATTTGGTGGTAAACCGTCTC